GCAGGAGAGAGGGAAGGGGGTGAGGGTGGGGCCGCGACCCCTCACCTTTCCAGCGGGGTGGTGGAGTGGGGCAGGATGGGACCAGGCGCCAGGGTCAGGAGAGGGCAGGCGAGGCGAGGCACTATAGGGGGCGGCCACTCGTAAATTTTCGTGTTCCCCAGATGCACGTTCTACGGCCTGGGCCTGTAAAACCCCCCGACCTCGCGCAGGCATGCGCTGCGCTAAAAGGCCATCTTTATATTAGGCTCGTTATTTTTTATTTATTCTGAAGGGGGTAGTTTTGGGAGTTTCGTGTGACGTCCAAAAAGACTCGAGGACGTCTAACTTGAGAGAAAAGGTACCCATCAGAGCCCTGCATCAAACGAGCATCGGATGCCTACATGGTGCCCGAAAGCGGTTGTGGGAGTGAGAATCTCGTGTCGGCCCATAGCTCCCTCTCACTCCGATTCGCTTTCGGACGCCATGTAGGCATTCGAGGCTGCCTTAGGCCTGGTCATCTAACTTGAATAGCAGGATTTCAAAACAAGCACAACTTGTGATAAGCATGTAGACTTTCCACTTTGCAGCATGCCACACGATAATTAAGACATATTAAGAAAATAGAGATGTATTTCAAACTATGTATTTTACAAAAGTTTGGCTTAAAAACCTTATAATTGGTCAAGTATAAAAATAAAGTTGATGATACTATGTAAAATTAATAAGAAAATTTCTGTATGACAATTTGTTCCAAACTGAACATAGTCAAATTGTAAAATTAAAAAAAAGTCTGTTAAGGTTTTCTTTGTTTACTCAACATCTCAATAACTTCATAATTAACATGTCAAAAAAACTTAACAATGATTTGATACAATAAATAACAGAAATTGATTAAAGTTTGGTTCAACAATGAAGTAATAACAATTACAGTTAATCCAATCCATCTAGAAGATTTCATACTTCGGGGACTTAATTTTTACTCAGTGGTTCAGTAATACTCATATTTTCCCCCACGTAAATTAATGGACAGTCAAAGTCTAATCAAAAATAATGTTTATGCATCTTCAAACTGCCCATCATCTGGGGCGAAGAGATCTTTATTCGGACGAATTGAAGGAGATGGGTGGATGTCGGATGGAATAAACGAATGAGGTCCAATGACTGTTGTGTGGATAATCAAAGCTCTCGCTGGCATATTAATGGTGACCTTAGGTTGGTAAACTAAAATTTTTAAAAACAGAGAAACCGAGATTTAAAAAATGTATGGTTTAACATGCTTTGAACAATCAACTTCACAAACACTCACACACACCTGTTGGGTCAAAATATTCATCTTCCTCATCTTCTAAGTCCCAGTTTTCTTCAGTTTCCGACTGTGGTTCTCTGTATTTAATCAACACAATCAATAAATATCAACAAAAGAAAAGAATGTGACCAGATCTACATCAGACTAAAAAGTTTCCCCTACCCAAGATTTTCTGCATCTTCTTGGTCACCACGAGTATCATTTTCTATGAGATAAAAATAAAAAAAGGTTGCTGTATTGATAAAGATGTAAAGAATATAAAGATAATCCGAAAGCTACCTGAGCAACTGCTTGAATAAGAACTGCGTCGCGAACTTGAAGAGGGAGTGAGAGGTTTTGACTTCATTCCATCTGATCGCTCAAGAAGGCCTCTCCTCTTTCTGAGGTTTAAGCATAGTTCCTCCTACCAATCATATAAAAAAACTGAAAACAAAACTCAAACTTTTCAAGTATACAAGACAAGAAATATTTCATGGGGTACAGACCTTGGTCTCATCCTGGAAGAAATTACACTTGAAATCCAAACCACAAAGACTATTTAGAGTCTCAAGGCATGTTGGAGGGACCTCCAGATGGTTATCGTACAAATCTAAATACTGTAGACTTTGTAGATCAGCAAAAGAAGTAGGTAAGTCATCCAACTGAAACAAAAATATAAAATACTTAAAAACTTTTGGCATTTTATAAGACATCTAATTGTACTTGCCAAACTTACCTTATTGCAATTGAGGAATAGTTCTTGTAAGTTAGCTAGTTTTCCCATTTCATTTGGAATGTATAGTAATCCATTATTACTCAAGGAGAGGCATTTTAAATTTACCATCTCACAGATGCTATCTGGCAGCCATTGAAGACGATTATTGTTGCAATTAAGAATTTGAAGGGCCTTTAAGTAGCTAATATCCTCAGACAAAATTGACAATCCCACACCATCTAAATTTAGTTCAGCTAGATGACAACTCTGGAAAAGCTTGAAAGAAATGTCCCATATAAAATTGCTCTTGCTGTGATTGACATTGCTTTCATTCCCCAGATGTAGCTTTTTAATAGCCTTGAGCTGATATACTAAAGACAAGTGATCTGTAGTCAGTCCGCAATTTGTAAGCTGTAAGGATTTAAGCTCAATGGAGACACCTGTGCGCCACAAGTTGTAAGGTCGTAATGTTGCTGATGGGTTACAGAAATCATTGAAACTTAGATTTAGATTTTCAAGAGATCTACAAAAGTCACCCCAGATCCAAGGGGGATTGGCTTTAAGCCTATTATTGGCACAGTCAAAAAATTTCAGTCCATAGGCACAGAGAGGCCCAAGTCTCCAGTCTTCAATTTCATTGAAAGACAAATTTAGATAATTAATTTTCACATTTCCCACCTGTAAAATAGGAAAACTATACTGCTAGCAAGTTATACATTTCTTACTAACGAGAAGAAATAACATTGAAGTTTTGGTACCTGGAGGCATGAAGGGGGTGCGTTCAAGTTGTTATGAGAGACATTTAATGTCTCTAATGCATCCAGTTGGGCAAAATCATCGGGAAGTGCTGTCAGCTGATTGTATGAGAGATTTAATTTGACCAATGACTTCAGATGACCGATGGATGATGGCAGTCTTTTCAAATTATTATGCAATGCCTCAAAACATTGAAGGCCAGCTAAATCCCCCAACGAATCAGGTATTTCTGACAAGCCGCAGGAATTTAATTTCATATGGGTCAAGTGATTTAGTTTAGCCCCCTCTATTAGTACTGTGCCATTTTCAATAGTAATGCCCTCAGAGCACTCGCAAGCGTCCTTCTCAACTGACATTTTGACGAGCGTGTTATATCTGAAATGTGATGCTTTGATAAGTAGGATATGATAAGCAGCAAGACTGGCAAGGCCCGATGGTACAATATATTAAAGGTTAAGGTGGGAAGCACAAATTTTGAAACTAAAACAAATGACTACTGATAAAGTGTAACCACCCCGAGTAAAAATACACACCTTGCTGCAAAATTTAAACAATGATTTTATCTTCAATGTTACTCATCTACTCCGTCGTCGTGAACGAAATGAACTAATGATCATTCACAATGCGATGCGATGCCCTTAATAAAAATTTGAATTCTTGCTACCTCCGTCCGCCGCCGTCCGGCAATCACAGGTCGTTAACCCGGAATTTCGTCGTCTGTGTCGTGTTGTCAATATCGATGGATTCAGAATATATTTTCCCTACTGACAGTGTCGTTCACAGTTTAAATTTAACTAGCTTGATGACCCACAGTCTTTCAAATCTGATTTACGCTCTGTCAACAGTTTTTTTTTTCTTTTCAAAACTTGTGTTTGCGTAAACTGTATTTGTCGTGGTAGTAGTGGTAGCACATCGCCGACACCACCAACAAAGAGAAGACCGCAAAGGGAAGACGGGCACCCTGTTGACATTTCGTGTTGTTTTAGTCATTTTGTTTAACTTCCTTATTTTGTTTGTTGTGCTTGGGACCACCGCACATAAGCTATCATCCCTTCTTGAGAGATTGTGCTTTTTGGGGGGGTTGTTCAAGAAGAATCAGGTAAGTGATGAAATAGGTGTCAGATGTGAAGGTTATGTCTTTGTGCAGGATGATCCTCGCCATAGCCTTTCCTTCAATGATTTTAATCCCACCAGTGTTCTTATTATCTTGTCTTCTATTGTAACACTGGTCGTGAAATTGCTTGCAGAAATTATGAACGAATTTAAAAAAATCATTCTTCAACAAAATGAAAAAGATATTTATAGGGATGTCACAGATCTTACAGACATTATTGTCTACCTGCTTTCGAAGAACATCATTTCTTCCCAAGATAGAGAAACCATAGCAAATAATACTCCCATGAATAAAACTGCCATGCTCATGAAACTACTGTATCAGAAGGAGGACGGATCAGCATGGTTTGAAGAATTTCTTATAGCTCTGTCAAGGGATTACAGCTGGATTTCAGACAAGCTGTCTGAACAATATTACCATGAAGAAAACAATCGAAAAACATTTTATCTGAGTGGGAAGGGACAAGTACCACCACTTCCTCAACACAATGTGACTCGGACCTCATATGTTGAGGAGCTTAGAAAAGCAATTGCAAAGTTGCGAAGAGAAGATTTTCTTGTTGTTCATGGAATGCCTGGATGGGGGAAAACATGCCTTGTTATTGATGCTCTCAATAATATTAGCCTCTTGGAAGATTCTTTGGAAGGATGCGTATATTGGATTTCAGTTGGAGATATGGGAGATGAACCAGATGACTTGCAGTGCAAACAACTGCAGAAGAAATTATGTGACATGGTTAATTTGCCTATTAATACTCAACAAGATTATTTTATTCAGCTCAAAAGATATTTTAGTATAAGACCAAATATATCAGCTCTCTTGGTACTTGACAAAGTCAAGTCTTCCAAAGTAGTTGATGCCTTGAATGTTGGTTGTAAGGTGCTTGTCACTACACAAAACACTGATGTTGTTAAAAAGTACAGTAGGAAGCAATTCTTCCACATCCAAAAGGGCTTCTCAGAATCTGAGTCTGTTAAGCTTTTGCAAGACTTTGTCTATGATGACAAGAATCTTGGACCTTCGCTTAAAGATATTGCCATAAAAATACATCACTCTTGGAAAGGGCATCCAATGGCTATTGGATTAATTGGGGGTGAGCTCTGTGAATTTAAAGAAGAGTCGCAAAAAGATGTTTCTCGTTGGAAGCAACATGTACGGTCCCATCAAGGAGATGTTGAGACAAGAAGGAATAGTCTTGTTATTGAACAACTTAGTTCCGTAATTGAACTTACTACAAGCAAGCTGAATGACAATCATAAAAAACGCTTTGAAATGCTTGTAGTACTTGTTGAAGACACAAATATAACAATTGATGTCCTCAAAATACTTTGGGACTTGGATCGGTCTGAAGTTATTAGCACTTTGGACCAATTTTACAAAAAGAGCCTTGTTTTCAAAAAGTTTAATTTAAAAGATGTTCCTGTTTATGGCATTCATGATATGCTCATGGACTATCTCATGAAGATAACTTCACCCTCTACCCGTGAAGAATTGAACAAGGATTTGGTTCACAAGTACATTAAGGCATGCAATAATAATTTTGCAAATCTTCCTCAGGACAACTACATTTTCTCATATCTTTGTCATCACATAGAATTTGCAAATTTGTGGGAGGAATGCCGTGATCAGCTATTCACCTTGAGATACATTGAATCAAAGCTGAGAGCAACAGGACCTGCAGACCTTTTGTTAGATCTCAGCAAGTACAAAAGTGGTCTTTCAGGTAGTAATTCTGAATATCATTCCAAAATTGCTGATATTAAACAACTAGTAGAAGATAGTGGCTGGGACATTCATTTTAGTAATGAAATTGACATAGTTCAGTGTGCTTTGCTGCAATCAAAGAAAAGCTATTTGTACAAAGAAGGTGTTGAGCTTGCAAAAGCAAGCAATGCCGAAACAGTTTACTTTTGTCCAAGAAACTCTTGGGAGAAGCCCAAAGATCTTGAAGTGGAAGTAACGAGAAATGTAACTGCTGTAAGTCTCACTAACAGTTCTGTCACCCATGCTAATGAACGGGTGCTTATGTACCCCTATGAATGTGACAACAAATTTTACATAGGTGAGCTCGATTTGAGGTACAGACTGCCAAGGCGGTACTTTTATGCTGGTGATGCTGGTGATGTAGTGATGCTGAAGGTATCTCCATCTGGTGATAGATTCCTGTCAGCACACAGTAATGGATTTATTAATATGTGGAGCCTGGCATCTGCGGACACTCCTCCTCCAAGTATGAGGCAGAAAGATTTCTCTCCATTTTACTGTGACATACGAACTACACCCTCATTATCATTTTCTCACTATCGCAAGGTAACTTGCGCCTGCTTCTCAAGCAATGGCAAGCTGGTACTTTCAACTTCTGAAGATGGCAATGTGCATGTAAGTATTTATGTATTTTTAATAATCTATACAATTTAATTTTGATTCATAATGGTCTGCATGGTGGTTGTGTAGAGTTACTTTAAATCTATTCTGTGTGAAATATGATTTCAGGTATGGAATCTTGAAAATAATAGTACAGTGAATAGATTTTCTGTTCACCCCAATCCATATGCCATATCGTGCTCCTTCATATCTGGAGATAAACTCATAGCGTATGCTTGCCAAAATTTCAAAATATTTTGTCATGAATTGCAAAATAATAAACCGTTTTCAGATTTTCAACTTAAAAAGGAGCATGGCAATCTTGTTTGTCTTTTGTCTGTGTCAGGTAAGCAGTGTGATGGCACTTTATTTCATGTATGAAAATATGAATAACTCTCTAATTCATGAATACCCCCTTTTATTTTCTAGAGGAAGACAAAAAACTGCTAGTTGTTCAAGAGAAAGCTGTACATCTATGTCATTGGGAACATGAGACACTTCAGCACAGAA